TGTCTTTCAGCCATTTTAGATTCCTCTATTGATAATTGTCTATTTAGTTCTGTACCCCATTTTTTAATTGGATTGTTAGGTGTTTATGAGAATAGCTTCTTGAGTTCTTTGTATATTTTTGAGATCAGCCCTCTGTCAGATGTGGGGTTGGTGAATACCTTTTCTCAGTCTGTGGGCTATCGATTTGTCTTGCTGACTATGTCCTTTGCCTTACAGAAGCGTCTCAGTTTCAGGAGGTCCCATTTATTAATTGTCGATCTCAGTGTCTGTGCTACTGGTGTTATGTTCAGGAAGCAGTCTTCCTGAACATTGATTAATTGAAGGGTTTTTTTTCCCACTTTATCCTCTAGTAGGTTCAGTGTGGCTGGGTTTATGTTGAGGTCTTTGATCCATTTTGACTTAAGTTTTGTGCAGGGCGAAAGGCTTGGGTCTATCTGTAGTCTTCTACATGTTTGCATCCAGTTATGCCAGCACCGTTTGTTGAAGATGTTCTTTTTGTTCTAGCATAAATATTTGGATTGTTTGTCAAAAATCAGGTGTTCGTAGGTGTGTGGGTTAATTTCAGGGTTTTCAACTCTATTCCATTGGTCTACCTGTCTATTTTTGTGCCAATGCCAAGCTGTTTTCAGGACTATAGTTCTGTAATAGAGCTTAAAGTTAGCGATGGTGATGTTTCTAGAAGTTCCTCTATTAACAGGGTTGTTTTGGCTATCCTGGGTCTTTTGTTTCTCCATATAAAGTTGAGAATTGTTCTTTCAAGGTCAGTGAAGAAATATGTTGGGATTTTGATGGGGATTGCATTGAATCTGTAGATTGCTTTTGGCAAGATTGCCATTTTTACTATGTTGATCCTGCTTATCCAACAGCATGGGAGATCTTTCCATTTTCGGGTATCTTCTTTAATTTCTTTCTTTAGAGACTCAAAATTCTTACGGTACAGGTCTTTCACGTTTTTTGGTTAGTGTTACTCCAAGGTATTTTATGTTGTTTGTGGCAATTGTGAAGGGTGATACTTCTCTGATTTCTTTCTTCACCAATGTGACATCGATAGGTATATAGTAGGGCTACAGATTTTTTTGAGTTAATCTTGTATTCTGCCACTTTGCTGAAGGTGTTTATCAGCTGCAGGTGTTCCCTGGTTGAGTTTTTCGGGTCACTTATGTAGACTATCATATCATCTGCAAATAGTGAGACAAACTCTACATCTTAATGAAAAGGAATGTAAGGAAGAACAAAGCTGAATTATAGGTTAAAGGCTTTGGTAGGACACAGAGTACCCAGGGATTTCTCACCTTTCCTTGAGAGGTGATTGGTGCTGATGCTGTGACCCTGGGGTTTTATAAAAAAAGATGGCAGGAGTGGGACTAGCCAAGACCACACATTCTTCCCGTAGAAATTCAGGTGAGGACAATGCATGGGAAATCATGAAAAAGATGAGACATATAGATTGATTTTCATTTTAAATTGCACTGCCATTAATTAGCTCTGAAAGTTTAAATAAATGTTATGAAGATACATGTTTTGAAAATTTCATTAAGGTTAGGTAAAATCCAAGTATTTTTAAGCATGGATAAAATATGCATTGGTGACAGTAAAATAGGAAACAATTCCTTGCAAGATGTTCTTGTGATATATTTATTTTGAAAACAATTTTTCCATGAAAGAGATTTGCCATGTAAGTGGAAGGAAAAATGATACAGGCTCCAGGGAAGGACTGTAGTGGGAGAGAGAGGTTGGGCAGTGCAGCCACCTTTTTTCTTTTCTTTACATTTATTTATGTGTGTGCATGTGGGTGCCATTGTGAACATGTGGAGGGCAGAGGACAGCTTGAGGCCGTAAGTTCTCTCCTATCATGGGAGGTCATGGGGTTGAACTCAGGGCATTAGGCTTTAGTTTTGGAGCTGTCTCTTGCCAGCCCTAGAACATTCTTTACATCTTTGAACATGGTATAAATAAACATTTGTAGAAACTGTACAGCTTTAAAGAGTTGATTGTTTTACATAGTTGGACTTTAATAGGAATAATAGTAATAGTTCTCTGAGCCTATATGTTATACATGATATACTTAGAGAAATTCAAGTGCATGTTGGAGGCAAGCTGTTTAACATGTACCTTGCAGTGATTTTATAAAGATTTATTAACATTGTTTTAAGTTATGTGTGTGTGTTCCTGTGTGTAAACATGTGCTCATGAGTACAGGTGCCTGTGAACATCTAGAGGTGTCAGATTTTTTGGAGCTGGAGTCATGAATGGTCGCTAACTATCTGACATGGATGGTGAGAACCAAAGCTGGGTCCTCTGAGGGAGCAGTACGTTTGTTCTCTTACCTACTGATCCATGTCTTCCAGCCCCTTCACACTAATTTAAGACATTGGATGCTGTGATTTCAAGCCAACAAAGTAAGAATAAATAGCATGCCAGGAGACAGGTTGTTGTGAGTTCAAAGGCCAGCCTGAGCTACAAAGTGAGTTTGAGGCTAGTCCAGGCTTGGGCTACATAATAAGAGGCATTTAAGAGTGCATCATCTATGCAGTAGATAGTAACTGTTACCTGATTCATTGTTGTCTTAAGAATTAAATGAAATGAAGTGCTCAGGATAGTATTAAGCACATTGTTAGTTAGCATTCACCAAACATTATTTTTATAATTACACTTTTTTTTCTCATAAAAGAGCTGGTGTAGAAAAGAACCATTGGCAAATATTAAAAACAAAACTATGATTGTTAAAATAAGCTCAGTTATTAGGACAAAAGAGAAAATCATAAAAGCTGGGGTGGGGGTGGTTGGTAGGTTGTTGCATGGATGACCTTTGGTTTGGCTTCTTCCTGGATGCTAGCCGCACTGGCTGCACTGAGGGATAGAGGGCTGTGGGAAATGCTCTGAAATTCTGAGGAAACAGTGATTTGGAACCTCAATTCTATTTTTAGCCAAACCAGCTTCCAAAGTTAAGAACCAAAAATACATTTCAGGAATGTGAGGACAGAAACAATTCTCAAAAGAAAGGACTAACAGAAGCAAAGAGGTCAGCAAACTTGGGGTCAAGTGTACATATTAAAAACATTTCTGTCAAGTTTAGGAACGTGATAGAAAAGTAAACAGTCTGGAACAGTTGAATGAGTCCTACAAATCCTGTAAAAAGGGTGCTGGTAAGAAGCATACATTCGTGGCATTATCTTATTTTTTAAAAATTTAACTTAAATTAAGCTGCACTCTTCCTGTTTACACAGTGGTAGAATTAAGAGCTGTTTTGGTTGGTGGAGATTAATAGTTGAACTCAATGTTGATGGAGTTGCATGGTTCAACAGTCTCACCAAATATAGAAGGGTGAAAAAGTGAAGGAATGAAGTGGATGTTCTGTTTCCAAGCCAGTCCAGCTGAAGTCAGCACACTGTCTGCCAAGGGGTAGGATGTCCCTGTTTCATGTTATGGGCAGTAATATCTGTGGCAGCCATACTGTCCCCGTGGCACATAATTCTGCCTGACATTGTTAGACAGAAATAGCTATTGATAGGATGCGTGGACAAATGGGATGGTTGAGTTCCAGGAAAGCCTGAATTTTAGAGAACAATGGAAGGGGAAAAATTCTTAATTTCAACTAAAGACAGAAAAAAATGGGAGAAGGGGGTCACCAAGAAGTATAACAGAAAAACCTGAAAAATGTCAGGAAAGCTTACCCCTAATAAATATACTCAGAGTAAAGATTTCTAGTAGAGGAAAGAGATTATCAGATTGGTCTTAGCCTAGGTTATAAGGGAGTAGGTAACCATGGCATATCTGTATTCCTTAACAGTACTGCATGTTTGCAAGGCATTACCCATCATCCTTAGCTGCTGAGACGAGTGTTGCAGTTATTGTGTGAAAGTTAGAGAGGAAGACTCTCATGGCCATTGTGGAGATGGACCCACACATAGGCTGGCAAGACTGGGGACTAAAGTTTTTTGTTAGGAATCAGAAGCAGCTCTATGATTGGCTCAGCATCGAGAACTTTGGGCCTTCACTACACATGCTGTCTTTATTGCCTAACTGCCTTTGCTTCACACTGTTTACTTTCCTATGGTCCTAGGTAAAAGTTTAAGACAGAATGGACATCTGGTTGACCCAGAGTTATTATGTGGGGCCCAAGCATTTTGTGCTTTGTCATTGCCTTCCTAGACTGCATAGGCTGTCCTGAGTTAGGCATCTCCCACAGAAGCTCAGGCGGCTGTAGTCAGGGAAGGGTTGCCAGGAAAGGATGGGCAGGCATCTGAAACACAAGTGGGCTTATAAAGGTGACTTTTTCAGTAATAAGGTGCATCTATCCCTGAGATAGGCAGTGTGAGCACATACACACTCCAAGGAATGTACTTATTAACATTCTAAAAATCTCCTTTTTAAGTAAACTCTGGTGATTAGTGTTGAAAATAGCATTTGCATTTAGTTTGAGAGTACAGAAAATGAAATATTAGAGAATTCTTCTATGACCTGAGAAAGTTCTTTTTTTACTACTTGGTAAACAGTAGTGCCTTAAGATTGTAGTGGCAAGCTGTGGCTTAATGGAGGTTTTTAAGAATTTTGCAAACCCCAGGATCACCAAATTCCTTTAAACATACTGTGGCTTATGTGTTATCTGTTTAATCCAAAATTAGTGCTAAATTTATGGTATATTATAGAGTGCTTATGATAGTAAATATAGTAAAAACTTGAAGACTCGGGTTGTATTTAGTAGGATGTGGATAATTGCTTTTGAAGATCATACAAATGCTTTTTAAATTTTTCCTAGGCTGGGCCATGCAAGCTGCTGCCTTTATCTTTATTCATAGGAAGTGGAAGGATGATAAGAGCCATTTTGAAGACATGATTGATTATTTTTGTGACATCCATGAACCACTACAACTTCTCATCTTTCCAGAAGGAACTGACCTCACAGGTAAGGCAGCCTGGGTATCGGTCACAGAATTAAAAAACTTAGAAACCACTAGTTAAATCTTCTTATTCCTAAAATGAGGTATGTGAATATCAACAAAATTAATGGATGACCCCAAGGTCACTGAGTTAAGTAATGGTACCCAAGCTAGACATGGTGGTCCAATCCTAAAGGTCCAGATACTCAGGAGAACGATGCAGGCAGATTACAAATTTAAGACCAGCCTGAGAAATTCAGTGAGTCAGTGTCTCAAAGAGTAAAATGGTGACTGCTACTACAGAGCTCTATTCCCAGTTCTACATTATATTTTTTAAGGTAAAATGGTGTTTACATCTTAGGGCCAGCTTGCCAAAGCCATGTTTGCCATATAGAGAAAGTAGACCAGTCATGGACCTTAAAGTATTTTTAAATACTTTTAATTGAGTTGGGGAAATTACATGCTTTCTTTCTTTCTTTCTTTCTTTCTTTCTTTCTTTCTTTCTTTTTTCTTCCTTCCTTCCTTCCTTTTTCGTTTTTTAATGAGCTAACAAAAGTATTTCTAATTTACAAAAATTTATTTAATTTAAAATATGTTTTAATTATTAAAGTTAACTTTAAATTTGGATTTTTAAAAATCCTATCACATCATTTTATATTTCACTTTAAATTCTGAAACTAGATTGTGTATTTTTAGATTAATGTGTTTTACTATTACTTTATATACATTCTGGTTTCATATACTATAATTGGTTATAACTTTTTGTTACGGGAAACAGTATATATTAGGAAATTTAAAAACACAGAAGTATACTCAAAGGTTGCTGTAATCCCACAGCCCATGATTGAACACAATTTGAAATTTTGGTCCATTTGGGCCATTATTTTGTCATAGAGACCTATTGCTTTGTGGAGTAAGTAATCTGCCTTACTACTCTAATGATGGAATTATTAATCCTATCTGAAAAACACCTTCACCAAAACCTCTGAAATAAATGTTTATGCTGTCCTAGTTTTACTCTGTTGTTATGATAAATACTCTATTGAAAGCAGCTTAGGGGAGCAAAGGGTTTGTATCAGCTCTCAGTTGCAGGTCACAGTCTATTACTGTATGGAAGTCAGGGCAGGAACTTCAGACAGCCAGTTGCACCCACAGTCAGAGCAGGGAGAGAATAGTGCATCATTGCTTGCTTGCTGTGAGCTAGCTTTCTTCTCATATTGCTCAAGAACCCTTCTTCAGGAGATGATGCCACCCAAAGTGGGTGACAGTCCCCCTGACATGCCCACTGATCTAGGTAATTCCTCGTTATGACTTTGCAGGTGCTTCTGGGTTGTGACAAGCTTTCAGGTTTACACAAAATTAGCCATCACAGTGGTTAGGGTCTAATTGTTAGTTCCATTTTCCTGAGCTGGAAAGAAAAGTTATTTCTAGTTTTAACAATGATATTACATACAGTTTGATACTCTTGTACGTGAAGTTTCTTTAGTAAATATCTTAGTGTCTGAAACTTTATATACAAAATTAATTTCCTTTCTCAGATCTAATGTCAGATGGGGAATAAGCTAATAATATGTACAAATGTCCTAAGAGTTTGTGTAGAAAAATAAAGCAGGGCGGGTAGATAGAGAGCAAAGGAAGGGAGCAGGGTGCTGGTCTGTAAGGTGGTCAGGGCAAGCCTCTGTATTAAGTTTCCTTGTAAGTAGGGCCATATGTTCAAGACAGAAGACTGCATCTGCAGCAAGAGGCCTTCTGGGTAACTGAACAACAGCTGCACAGGCCTGAGGTTGGAACATGCCTGGGTGGCTTGAGAAGATCAGAGTGGCCAGCAGTTCTGTGGGTGTGGGTGGAAGCAGTGCTGGAGTGGGAAAGTTGGAGGGCGTGAGCTGACAGGAGGCTGCGGTTGGAAAATGGGATGCTAGTGCAGCTACTAATAATGATGGCCTGGGAATGGTGGGTGGAGGGAGAGGGAAGAGAACATTGCCACACTCATTTGTCTGATTATTTCCAACTTCCCAGAGGGTGACTGTACATTTCAGAGTTGCATATGTTTGCATTCACATCTGTAACAGAACTCAGTTATACCTGAGGATCCCCAGTCACCAACAACTGGAAAACAAACTGCTCTTCTCTCTGGTGACTCTGGTACTCCTAACCCCATCTGAGGTCTGTCAGCTAGCTGTCACAGAAGTACTGTTTTATCACCCTGTGTCCAGGATAATTCACAGACTGGTCAGGATGAGCCTCCTGATCTTCACGTCCAAAGCCTTTCCCTGTAGTTGCCAAGGAAGCTGTGGGCATTTGACTCAGTGCCTCTGTCAGAAATGACCCAACACCTTCCATAAGAGTGTCTGCTGGATATTGTGTTGTGGGGTGCATCTGTGGTTGCTGCAGGACTGGAGAACTCACCAATTAAATTTACTTCTAGGAAAGTAGTGCTTATGTAGCTGTAATCCTCATACTTGTCTGTAAGTTTCCAAATAGAGCTGAGCTATAGGCCCTAATGTCTGCTGTCATCAGAAGGTGTTTCACGATCCCTAGTCAAGGCCAAATTTTGAACACTTTATTTCCCAATTGTATTTGCTGAATAATGAGTTTGGTTCTTGGAATTTGTAAAGTGACCTCATGGAATGGAAAAAAAAAAGTTATTGCCAACAATTGGAACATATACTTGTCTCTGTAACTATATTCAGCCAAACCATGTTCAGATGTTTGTACATGATGTGCTAATCATGTGCTTATTTTGTTGTGCAGCGGTTTTGGTTAGTAATATTAGCCACTCTGCGCTTGAGCAATGCAGATATTTCACTTTGCTTTGAAGCCTAAATTTTTGGGTTAAAGAAAATGTTGATCTGATATATTTGATTGCTGGCTATTTCTTTTGGATGTCTAGAACCTTGTATTTTGTTAATTTTCAGTTTTATTAGCATTTTATATTATATTTGAACTTCCATTATTTAAGCATTTTATTATTATTGATGGTGCTGGGGATTGAATCTAGGGCCTTGCTGTATCACTGAATTATATCCTCACCTCACATAAAGATTATCTTTAATGAAAATTTTAACTTATTAGTGTTTTGGTTTTTATATCTTAATTTTCATTATATATATTGGCTTTTGTGAAGTCTTCTAAATTTAACATTTGGGATATAAATTTAAGAGAACTTACTAAGGCTCTGTTTATAACATATATTTAGATATATCCACACACATACCAGTAGATTGTAAAGGATTATAAATATTTGCATTTGGGGCTGGAGAAATGGCTCAGTGGTTAAGAGCATTTGATACTTTTGTAGAAAACCTGGTTTGGTTTCTAGCATCCACATGGCTGCTCAGTTCCATCTGTAACTCCAGTTCCAAGGAATCTGATGCCCTCTTCTGGCATCCTTGAGCACTGCACAGACTGGGACACATATGCAGGCAAAGCACTCACACATACTCAAAATGTTTGCATCATCTTTGTATACTGCTTGTAACAAGGGAATATGTAAGTGTCTTTTGGGGGGCAGGCAAGGTCTCCCTATTAATCCTAGATGGCCTGGAATTCACTAGGGGGGCTAACGTGGTCTTGAACTCCTGAGGATCTGCTTGCCTCTGCCTCCTGAGTCCCAGAATTGAAAGTTGTGCCTACCACGCCTAGTCATAAAAGTGGCATTTTTAATCCAAGAAACTTTTCCTTACCTCACTGTCTTTTACTTTATGGCTTCTGACGGTCTATTATTTTGTTTAGAAAATAACAAGGCGCGGAGTAATGATTTTGCTGAGAAGAATGGACTTCAAAAATATGAATATGTCTTACATCCAAGAACTACTGGCTTTACTTTTGTGGTGGACCGTCTAAGAGAAGGTAAGCGCTAATCTTAAAATTGTGTTTAAAATAAATGTGACACAGACTTCTGAGCTTTATATGCAGCTCTCTGACATCTACTGAGCCATATTAGGATAGTACTGACCTGTGACTAATAATCACTGTCCTCTTCTAAATGCTATTTGCCATAAAATTGTCTGTGTATAACATGAAAGGCCTTGAAGCATTATGTAAGAGAAGGTCCACTTCTTTCCCTAAATGGCATCACTGTTCTTTTAGAATCTGATGTGCTTTAAGATACACAGTATAATCTGCTAAAACAAATCTACGTTACATCTAAGTACTATGATTTTGAAGAAACGTTTGTTGCTGGTCTAAAATCACATTGGGATGGTAAAACCAAAACTGCCCATGGTCAGTTTGGTTATTTTTGAAATTCTGTGATCATAACTAATATGATGTGGACTTTGCCAGTGGATACTGTATGCTTTGCCTGTCTGCATGTAGAAGCTCATGAAGGGTGGTGTTCTTCATGTCTATGGAAAGTGGGGTAAAGGCATACAGGTGGTGTGCTCACTCTCTCATCTCTCTTCTCTCTGGTGTTAGATACCACTTTAGTGTCTAACTTAGACTCAACAATATGGTTTCTGTTGTGTGTATTTAGTGATTTCTTTAAAAGTATATGTGACATCAGGAAACACATTGTATTTCTCAGGTAATAGAAGATGACTTTGGGACATATCTTTTACTTAAAACATTCTTAATACAGACGAGATAATGGGGAGATTACTTTATAGTTGATCAGAGTATATTTGTTATGTCTCTGTTCTGAAATCTAGCAACCTTATAACTTCACTGCACACTTTGAGAAATGTATATTGCTTAGTTGTCACTCAGAGCATTAGTCAGTAACCTCATGTAGTAATTTTTCCTGCCAGAAATAATGACTGATTCCCCTCCCCACACCCTATATATATCAAAAAAAAAAAAAAAAAAAAAAAAAAAAAAAAGAGATCGAGAAATTCAGATGAGATATCTCGTTTGCCTTTGTAAGAAAACCAGGCAGTGGTTCTGTTTATTTCATTTAGAACCGTGGGCTAGAAACCTGTACTGAAAAAGGAGAAACATGCCGATGATTGTTAAAATAGTAATAGCACTGACATTGAGTATTTACAGGTATCAGGCATTGTGCTAAATACTTTCAGTGTCTGAGTTCACTTCTTCTTCACAAGCCTCCACCGAAGTTTTCATTGTCATACAGAACAAGGGCAGACAGCAAGGTGAAGAGTCAGCTACTGGACTAGTGTTGAACAGAGTGCATATGCTCCTTCATTTAGAGTATAATTGTAGTTACTCTCCAGACCACAAAAACACTGTCATAACCTGAGTGAGCTGGATGGTTTTAAGAAAGGATCTAAAGAAAGGCAAAAAGATGACCAGATAATGGAAGGACAATGGTCCCAGGCAGGTATTGGTATGCTGTGTGAGATGACAAGAGGAGCAGGCACAGACTAGGGAGGCACACACTGCTTGCAGTGCTGAGGACAGATTTGGTTCCTTGGGAGGAGATGGGGTTCAAATGAAGAGTAAGGTCTGCACCAAGGTCCAGCAGTGAAGAGGATCTTAGAGGCCACTGAGTCCAGGGTGTTCCTTTAGAAAAGAACAGAAGACTCAAAAGGAGGCCCAGCACAGTTCTCTGATCTTCAGGCTGTGGAGATCTGTTTTTGACAGTGCATTGTGAAAAGAAAGCTTGTTGTTACAACAAATGGCCTTATAATTAGTGACCCAGTAGAACCCTAAAGACTGCACATTAAAACAAGTCACCGTTAAGTGTCGTCCTCATGATTCTGACTTGCAGCTGAGTTTAGTGTTGCAGCTGTCTATTGCATAGACAGCAGAGGCAGGCAACCATGAGTTCAGAATATCAGGAGTTAAGGATCAAGCCAGAGCAGGCATTACTGAGCAGGACAAGAGGGAGACAAGGAAAGGAGCCCATGTCTTTCTTAAGAGTCTATTTTACCATGACTGAGAATACTTGGAAAACTCAACTCAAAAATGTAACACTAATTATGTAATGTTTTACAAGTAGGCTGTTTCTGTAATAGTAATTGCAGCTTGCTTTGAGTGTCTTAATTTTTACCATCTGTGTACTTGCTTTATAGTCTTGCTAGGTTCTTCCTTTCTTGAGGATGTGGAATTGCCCAGCAAATGAAGATAATCAGCATTAGTTGTGTTGAATCTTAAAAAAAAAAAAGTTCCCAAAAATCATACAAAATAGTACCCTAGCATGCTTTTTAGAGCATTGTATGTTAATACTGGTAGGTGTTTGTTATGGGTGATTCATATGGACTCCTAAGCACAGAACTTTTCAATATATGATCATTTTTCTTTTTTAAATACTGAAATAATGAAACTCAAAAATAGTTACTAATTTAGAGGGAAAGGACTTCATTTTTTTTGTTTTTATTATCACTTATAATAAAATGTATAATGTAATATTAAACCTTGAAACCATTGCCTCCAGACACTATTCATTATAAGCTTTGGTGATTTATAATTTTTCTTTGATTTCAACAAGTAATGATTTCAACAGCACGGAGTTCTGTTGAAACAACCTGAAATAAGGCTAGCCTGACTAAGCAGGAGAAAAAGATGTAAACATTTGTTTTAAAGTATGGTCCAGTTTGAGATAGGATTTTGTCTTCAAGAAGTTTATAGTCTAAATGGATAGAGATTCAAATGGTACACAGTGACAAATGTCCAAATTAACATGTATGTTAAGTGCTAAGCTTTATGCACATATTATGCTAAATAGCACAATGTGCTCATTTAAGAGGGTCCCGTGGTACTGAATATTCATGTGTGAATCCTGTAAGAAGCTGAGTTTCCCTTGAACACTGGAGACTGTGTGAGCTGGGTAGGCAGGAAGAACATTTGTGGGTGAGGAAGTACAAGAAAGGGTCAGTCCTGGACCAAGCAGTCACCTTGCAGACATTAGCCTGTGGGAGCTGAAGACAGCTTGTAGAGTAACAGTCAGTTCTTTAAATGTTGTTTGGAGTCCTGCCTGTTTAAAAATGTAATATCTCAGAGTCATAACTTTAGTCTATTAATAGAGTCACCAAGCAAATTGGCTTATCTATTAAGACTCCAAATGATCATGTAAGTATGTTTAAGTTTTACGTTTGAAATCAGTTGTTTCTTTTTAAAAATTAAAACAAGTCAATTTCTGTTTATGCTTAGCTCATATGCATAAAATCTACATAGGTAGAAATGGAGGATATAGCCTTTCCATGAACCTGGATGGCACTGAGTTAACCACTAAAGAAAAAGTAAATTCCCACTGGGTAATTTGGATTAGCACACTTGAATAAGCCCTTTGATTTGTTAGGGAAAAGAGAATTGCCAACTTTTAACACTGAATTTTATGCATATTTGATACCTGTTGGACCTGTGTCTTGCTCTCCTGTGATGGGGGAAGTCCTTCTGTGTATATGTTTGTCTTATTGGTTGATAAATAAAGCACTGTTGGCCAATAGGGAAGCAAGTTAGGCGGGACTAGGAGAGAAGGAGGATTCTGGGAAATGTAGGAAAGGGAGAGAGTCTCAATGTGATCCAGGAAGAGAGGACACATGCCGCTGGTGTCCTCGATAAATCTTTATAAAATATATAGATTAGTAGTTACGGTTGATAATTAAGACTGAGCTAGCAAATAAGAAATCCTAGTCATTGGCCAGCAGCATTGTAACTAATATAAGACTGTGTGTTACTTGGGGGCACTAATGTGGCAGCCGAACTCAGGTGGCTGGTGGAAAGAGTTATTGTTGCACTCCTGTGTTGGTTTTCGTAGCCTTTCTTTGCTATGAGAAAACTGTAAGCAATGGCAGTACATTCATAGGCAGCTTAGGCTTCAGCAACATTGTGGGGCTTCAACTTCATGAACTTGAGGCTTGATTTGCACCTGCCTGCTGACAATCTGTTGCTGCAGTGGCTTTATATAGGGAAGGAATAAAGCCAGCATAGGTCACCATCCTGTGCAGCAAACACTCCATTTATTTTAGTCAGTGAGCCTCTCCCAGGATGGTGTTTTAGCCACCCTTCTCAGCAGCATGTGAAAGATGGCAAGGAAGATAGGCAGACATACAAACAATTAAGTATTGGGGGCATTAAATGCCATGCACCCTGACCTTTCATGGCACTTTTCTTAATTGCTGAGAGCCATTTATAAATATGCCAAGACCTTTCCATTATGTTAAAAAATGTGATTGTACACTAGGCCTTTGACATTTGCAAGAATATTTTCTGAGACCTATTTTACTTCCCCACATTTGCAGATATCTTTGTAGATTAACATTTGACTTTTCTTTGTGGTCATGTTATAAGGAGCAGATCCTGGCTGTTGACTGTGCTACATATGCATTACAAGACCTAAGAAGAGACTATGTATTGATCAGTGGGTCGAGCACACAGGTCACTTACGTGACTTGGTGATTTACACGCTGTGAATGGCACTTCTCTTTTCTCTGCTCATTTTAACGCCCATCTATAGCAAAAACAAAAACGAAGAAGAAGAAGAAAAAAAAAACCTGAGCTTTTCATTGCGGACAGATCCCATCTTTATCTTCTTAGAGAGCCAGCTTATGACAAGCTTCGTGAAAAATGATGGAATGCATATATCTGAAACAGCCACCTGCCATTAACATATGCTTATCATGTTCTAGATATAGAGTCATACATGTTCTCCCTGACCTTGCCTGTGTAGTAGACTCATTCGTGATGCCTTTTACACATGTAGACACTTAACTTCAGGCCCAGACCTGCTGGTGGTGCCATCCTGGGTTTACAGTAACTAACCTCCCAACCCATTGTCATACATGCCACGTAATTCTCCCAACTAAGCCATGTACCATACCTGAACAGGCAGGCTTCCTTGAGCAACTTGTCTGTGGTTGTGTTGGTGAGTAGAAAGATTGTAATTTGAAATTAGATTTGTTTCATGCACGTCTCAATATAATAAGTTCACAGTTTTTCTGCTACAAATA